CCTTCCTGGCTGTTCCAGACCTCACTCCTCAGAAGATTCCTCTCTCCTATTACAGTTACTGACTGGCTCCCTGCTGGGAGATACAGTCCTTGGATACATTGTAGCCTCCTCTCAAAATGGAATGATGACTCTTCTTGGTTTAGTTTCAAGTACATTGTAGCAACATTGCCAGTCACCTGCACAGCCCCACTACTGTACTTACTGCGGGTACTTCAGTTATTCTCAGAGTGTATTGTCTGCAATCATGTCGCTCTGTGCCTTCAATTCCATTCCAGCTCAGACTGACCCATGTGATGGCAGAACTGTCCAATAGGGTTTTCTTGGCCGTCATCTTTCCCAAAGCAGATGGACAGATCTATTTCTCGGGTTGCCGCTGGGTGGATTCTAACCACCAACCCTTTAGTTAGCAGCTGGTGCTACCTTTTTTTTTTTTGTTCCACCATGGTTCCTGTTTGTGAAAATATTAACTACTGACCTGAGTACAGGAAGATGAGCCCTTCTGTTACTTACTGCCTCAAAAACCCTATACAGGGTTGATATGAGTCGAAACTTAACCACAACAATATTTACTGAGTAATAAGCCTTGGTGGTACAGCAGGTTAAGCACTGGGCTGCTAACTGAAAGGTCAGTGGTTAAAACCCACTAGCCACTCTTTGGAAGCAAGAAGAGGCTTGAGGCCCTATAGAGATTTCCTAAAGAGCAGTTAGCTCTCTATCCTCAGGGTCACCATGAGCTGGAATAGACTTGATGTCAGTGTCTTGGCATTTGATCCTCAGACACTGGACTTTAGTGCTTCGTGAGATCGGTACTGCTGGCCCACCGAACCCTGGGGCTAGATGCATTTTGAAATTCAAAATGTCTCAGATATTAGAAAGATCATATGGCATCTGCCACAAATTCCATAACAACCCCTGTGGGTCTGGGACAGGGGCCCCCAAATCAATCACACAAATATTTTTGCCATGAAAGTTATGAATAGTCACACTCAGGGAAAAATAGATCTGGCCAGGTTTTGCTGCTTCATGAGTTTTGCGTGGAGTTCTGGTGTGGCATTGTGGGTAATGCGTCAGACTGCAAAGTCGTTTGAACTCCAAGGTCAGTGATTCAAGCTCACCAGCTGCTCCTTGGAAACCCTATACAGGATCACTATGGGTCAGAATCTACAGCACTTATCAGCAACACCCAGCTATCCCAGCACTGTTTATTGAAATGGTCTTGGTACCCTTGTTGTAAATTAACTGACCATAAATAAATGTGAGGATTTTTTTCTAGACTCTCTGTTCCTCTTTTCCACTCGTTGTATGCCTGTGCCATCTTGATTCCCATCGTTTTGTATTAAGCCTTGAAGTTGGCAAGTGTGTGCCCTGTAACTTTGTTCTTCGTTTTCAAGATTATTTTGACTATTCTAGGTCCCTTGAGTTTTTCTATGAAGTCATCTTTTCAATATCTTCAAATCTGAAGATCAGTTTGGGAAACATTGCATCTTTGCTATATGCATCTTTCAGTCCAGGAGCATGGAATGCTTTTCCAAATATTTGTTGTTGTGAAGTGCCTTCGAGTCAGTTCTGGCTCATAGCTACCCTATATAGGGTTTCTGAGAAGTGCCTGGTGAGTTTGAACTGCCAACCTTGGGGTTAGCAGTCCAGTGCTTATCCTACAGTGCCACACCAAGACTCCTCTGTATATTTAAAGCTTTAATTTCCTAAAGAAGCTAAGAGAAGAAGGGAGAGCTAGTATATGCTTACTGGATGTGTTTTATTATTTACCATTTCTGGTTCTCTGTTTTGTGGATTTGAGTTACCATCGGGTGTCGTTAGAGTCCACCCCAGTTTGGCCCCCACCCATCTCCACTGGCTGGTATTTTCAAATACATGACATTTCTGAATATGCCCAACATATTATTATCCATATTGTTTTAGACAATCGCTGTTTGAATGAGTTCAGAGAAGAACTAGGCAGATGTCGTACTTTTTTATAATTGCCTTACTACTGCTCTTTGGTATTTTTTGTTGTTGTTGTTTTCATATGGTCTCAGATTACTATCTGGGGTCACATGCTTTTAGCCTGAACAACTTTCTTTAGTATTTCTTGTCAGGTGGGTCGTCTGCTAGAAACTCTTTTCCTGTTTATCTGAGAATGTCTTTATTTTGCCTTTATTTTTAAATGATTGTTTTGCTAAATATGGGATACTTGATTGACAGGTTTTTCTTCATTTGTTTTGTTTTTCCACACTGCATTAAATGGAGTCCTGGTGTGGCGCTGTGGGTTAATGTGCCGGACCTTAAAGTCACTTTGAATTGTAAAGTCGGTGGTTTAACCTTACCAGTCTCTCCTATACAGAGTCACTATGGGTCAGAACCAACTCAACGGCACTTCACAAGAACAATATATATATATATGAGCTCTGGTAGCGTAGTGGTTATGAATCGGGCTGCGAACCACAAGGTCAGCAGTTCGAAACTACCAGCTGTCCGCCAGAGAAAGATGAGGCTTTCTGCTCCCATAAAGATTTACAGCCTCGGAAACCCTGTCCAGGGTCGCTATGAGTTGGAACCGACTCCACAGCACATAACAACATATATATATGTATATATAATTTCTGTCACTTTCTTGATCCTCTCTAGTTGGTAAACCACCATCATCATACTTTCCTTTACTTCTGTAGCTGGTCCAACCTATTTGTAATGGCTACTTGAAATCTTTGTTAAATCGGACGGACATCTGGTCTCTCTCATGGACAATTGCTGTGGCCTGCTTCCCCTGGATATGTGTCAGACTTTTCAGCATCCTTGCACTTCTCATACTTTAGTTGTTGTTGAGAACTGGGCATTTTAGATAATACAAAGAAGCTTCATCAGGTTAGTGGAAGAATTCCGTGATCTTTTCATTCCATTGTTCCATGGACTGTTTGAAGCCCCCTCCTATGAATGTTGTAACAACTCCGGATGCTGATTCCCGCCTGCCTTCCCTCTGCAGCTGTTATGGTATGTTTCTTTCTCTCAGTTATTGGCTGGACTATTTTAGTGAAGCCCCTGGCATTGCTCCTCAGAGGGTGCCATCTTGGGCCCACGCACAGGCCTCTGGGATGATAGGGTTCTTGTTTAGCAGGCTTCTTGATGCTTTTGTTACCTGTTCCTACCTAGCTGTTGGGCGCCTCTATTTACCAATTGATTGCACTGTTGTTGTTTTCAACAATACGCTGGGGCAAAAATCAGTGCTAGAGCACCTGTCTAGGTCTGTATTCGAGTCTTGTCCTCTTGGTTACAGACACCTGGAATGGAGCTGCTCTGCGCTGAGTTGGGGGTGGGTGGGAAGGCGGAAGCAGATCTTGGCTCAAATGCTGTAGTTTCTTACTGTTCTTAGAAATACATTCAGTAGATTTTCTTGTATAAATGCATCTTCGTTTGTGCGATGCCCTGAGGACCACTTCCAGAGTTTGTTTCTTAAAAAAAAAAAAAAAAGTTTCCACCACAGTTACACCTGTTTGACCACTGGGGCAAAGGTCATGTGAGCTCCTTGCCGTGACATTCTGCACGTGGAATTCCTGCCAGAAGTTTTAGCGCCAGCACATCAACCGTTCAACTCCAGGCCACTGAGTCGGTTCCGACTCATAGGGACACTTTGTAGGGTTTCCGAGGCTGCAAATCTTTACAGATGCAGAAAGCCTCACCGTTTCCTTCAGAGTGGCCAGTGGGTTTTAACTGCTGAACTTGTCATTAGCAGTCCAGTGACTATCCTACAGAACCACCAGGGCTCCTTTTGATGGAACTATGATATAACATCGTAACTATGATAAAAATGAGAAACTTTTGGAAATCAGCTTTATTTTAATTTTTGAATAAGAAATAATTGATGTTGTTAAGTACTGTCACGTCAGTTCCAACTCAGAACGACCCTGGATGGGTTTCCGAGGAGTGGCTGGTGGATTTGAACCACTGACCTCGTGGTTGGCAGTCCAGTGCCTATCCTACGCTTTATCCCAGGCTCGTGGACCTGGATTACTTCATCTTTCTATCTCATACAATTTGACTACGGTTAAAAGTGATGAACTCATGTTTTACACATTGAAGGTTTGTAACCAACCTGTGCTGAGCAAGTCTATCAGATCCATCTTTCCAGCAGCATGTGCTGACTTGGTGTCACTGTGTCCCGTTTGGTCATTCTCACAGTATTTCAAACATTCTCATCCTGCATACTTCATAGACTACAGGCTAGTGTAAAAGAAACTCCCCCCCCCCTCCATTTGTTTCATTTATTTAAACTTTTTACTGTGAACTGAGTGAAATCAACAGACAGGATCATTAGCGTTATACTCAACAATGATCTGCTTTGCTTTATCTCAACAGTTTTCCTACTTCCTCCCTGTGGCTTCCCTTTTACATCTTAAATTTCACAGATGAACAAAGCAAAAAGACAACATGTTCACATACAAAACAAAAAATAGATATTCATTTAAGTGTCCTAAGGACATATTCTGCAAGCCAGCCTCCTGCTCAAAGACATCAGCCTTTCTCAGTCCATAGGCCTCGAGCCCACAGATGCTCTGTCTCTCCATGCCACTGTCCCTGCTGTCTCCATTTTTCTAGGTAGGATCTCACATTCCACTCATGCTCTTCCTTCTTGATGGTCCTAGGATCCTCTGTTCCTGAAATGAAAGATAAACTATACCCCTTTTTTAGTTACACATGTCACAACATAAACTTATATGTGCACTGAGAAACCCAAATATTCTCGTGACTTGCTTTATTGCAGTGGTTTGGAACTGAACTGCTGATATCTCCAAGGGGTGCCTGTACATCCTCCAAAGCACAGCCCACACCATGTGCTCCTGTGTGGGTATATGCGGAGCTCTGTGTTTTCCTGGCAGGGGTTCGTGCTTCCTCAGTCGTCTACAGAGGAGTACTTGCGTGCGTGGATGCCGCCCTACAACCAGGTGCTGTTTGAGTGGACACGCTGTCCTGTGATCAGCCTCCACCCTCTGTCTCTTGCAGAGCCTCCCACACTGGTCATGCCGGTACCCACGGAGGGTACCCCGCCACCACTGAGTGGTACTCCCGCTCCAGTCCCTGCCTACTTCCGCCATGCAGAACCTGGCTTCTCCCTCAAGAGGCCCCAGGGGCTCAGTCGGAGCCTCCCGCCCCGGCCACCTGTCAAGGGCAGCGTCCCCATTAGCCGCCTCTTCCCTTCTCGGACCCCAGGCTGGCACCAGCCCCGGCCCCGGAGCGTGTCCTTTCGGGGTGAGGCCTCAGAGCCCCTGCAGAGCTCAAGCTATGACCCAAGCCGGCCTGAGTCCTTTTTCCAGCAGTGTTTCCAGCAGGTCGGCCGCCTGGGCCGAGGCTCCTATGGAGAGGTGTTCAAGGTGAGTAGGACTGAGACCAGGGCAGCCTGCTCCCCATTCTCTCCCCAGCCCTGCCTCACTGTTGATTTGGCTGCCGTCTCATAACTCCCACACAGACCCTCCAAATGCCCCTCAGTGCACAGTATGCCCTTGTCCAGAGCCAACCATGCTGGGGCTCCTGGCCTGTGCTCCTGATCCCCAGCGCCAGCCCCCGCTGTGATGTCCCACCCTCCCCCTACCTGGCAGACACTCAGGCAACACCCTGCCTTCCTCCCTCCCGTTTTTGCGCCTTAAAACTAAAATTTTCCAATCAATCATTTATATTGTCTTTAAAAAGGCTGCTTTGCCCCAAGTACTATTTGACTCCTGTGCTGTTGTTGAAAAGTCAGTTCTGACTCATCGCGACCCTTTAGGACAGTTTTCAAGGCTATCAGCCCTCATGGAAGCCGACTGCTACACCTTTCTTCTGTGGGGCGGCTGGTGGGTGGGACAGCTTTGGGTTAGCAGCCAAGCACTGTAACCTCCGTGCTACTTGGGCTCCCTACACACAGCACAGGTGCCTTGATTATCCTCTTTCCTTGGAGGGTGGCGATGCTTCCCTACAGACCCTTCTCTCTCCACCTGTCTGGTTGAACACCTGTTTTGTTGACACGACAGGGTCACACTGTTGCTTCTCCTGCCGCCCCTCTGGCTCACTGAGTTCCCCTTCCAAGGCCCTCTTGAAGGAAATGTGTCATTTGCACTGTTGCAGCAGTGTGGGGCGTCTAGGACATTTGCCAGCAAGAGAGGCCATGCTGGCACAGTGGGTTAAGCATTGCTAACTGAAAGGTCAGCATTTGGAACCTACCAACCACTCCGTGGGAGACAGATCCAGTCTGCTTCAGTAAAGGCTCCATCTTGGAAACCCTCTGGGGCAGGTCTGCTCTGTCCCAGGGTCACCAGGAGTCTGAGCCAACTCCAATTCCACAGCAGTAGGTTGCCCACCCAGAGATGACACCCCATCTACAGTGGAGCTCTCCCCTCTAGGTGCGCTCCAAGGAAGACGGCCGGCTCTACGCCATCAAGCGCTCTATGTCACCATTCCGGGGCCCTAAGGACCGTGCCCGCAAGCTGGCCGAGGTGGGGGGCCACGAAAAGGTGGGACAGCACCCATGCTGCGTGCGGCTGGAGCGCGCCTGGGAAGAGGGTGGCCTGCTATACCTGCAGACGGAGCTGTGCGGGCCCAGCCTACAGCAGTACTGTGAGACCCGGGGTGCCGGCCTGCCCGAGGCCCAGGTCTGGGCTTACCTACGGGACACTTTGCTGGCCCTGGCCCACTTGCACGGTCAAGGCCTGGTCCACCTGGACATCAAGCCCGCCAACATCTTCCTGGGGCCACGGGGACATTGCAAGCTGGGTGACTTTGGGCTGCTGGTGGAGCTGGGCACTGTCGGACCCGGTGAGGCCCAAGAAGGGGACCCCCGCTACATGGCCCCTGAGCTGCTTCAGGGCTCTTATGGGACGGCGGCAGACGTGTTCAGGTGAGGACCGGGATGTGGGGGTGTGGTGGCAGGCTGTGGGGCCCTCCTGGGGGTGGTCAGCAGAGACGGTGACTCCCAAAGATGAGGAGTCTCCCGGACTGCAGATCCCTGTGCCCAGGGTGTGGGTGGGGCCGCCGCAGAGGGGTCAAGGGCCCTCCTGAGTCAGAGACCCTTAAGTGTCATTCCTTCCAGAGTGCTCTCTGTCGATGACCTAGGATAACAGCTCTTCAGGAGTGAGGCAGGCACAGTGGGTACGGGACTCAGCCACGGCCCACAGTTGGCAAGTGAGATGGCTGGGCTTGCGGCAGGCAGTATGACTCATGGGGGTCCACATCCCACACGGCCTTGGATAATGGCATTCAATCATCGGCAACAGTCATAGGGACCCTCGTATCCCAGGCAGTTAAAGCTTAGCTGCTAACCAAGAAGGTTGGCGGTTTGAACCCACCCAGTAGCTCTGCCAGAGAAAAATGTGGCCATCGAAATAGGATCAGCACTGGACTGAGAACCACAAAGTCAGCAGTTCAAACCCACCCGCTGCTCCTCAGAAACTCTATACAGGGTGGCTATGAGTTGGAACTGACCGACTCACCACTTCACAACAACAATCTAGTAAAGATTAAAACCTCACTGCTACCGAGTCAATTGAGACAATAACAATCCTGCAGGACCGAGTGGAGCTTCCATAAGGCTCTGAGGCTACAAATCTGTATGGGAACAAACCGCCTGTTTCTCCTTTGGAACAACTGGTGGGTTTGAACCTCTGACCTTGTGGTTAGCAGTCAAAACTTACCGCATCATCAGGGCTCCGTCCGAAAAGATGGCAGCCTAGGAAACCCTATTCTGTCACACGGGGTCATGGGAGTGGGAAATGGCCTAGCAGCTCCTAGTAACAGTAGGCCAACCTGTAACCACGGTAGCCGTAGGACCTGTCCAGTGGGCTGGCTGGCAGACTTCCCAGGGGGCATGCTCAGTCATGTGCATTCCTGACCAGTGATGGGTTTCAGAGACCCTTTCCCACCTTCCTCTGGGTCTGGGGTCTGTGTCCTGAGGCCAGCTCTGCTCCGTCTCTGGCTGTTTTTTACCCCACTAGTCTGGGCCTCACCATCCTGGAAGTGGCCTGTAACGTGGAGCTGCCTCATGGTGGTGAGGGCTGGCAGCAGCTGCGTCAGGGGTACCTGCCCCCCGAGTTCACTGCGGGTGAGTGGAGGCACCAAGGGGAGTGAGTATGGCACAGTGGGGAGGGCAGCTCCTGGGGGCCCCCTGACATGCTGCTGCTTGTGCCCTGCACCCAGGCTTGTCTTCTGAGCTGCGCCACGCCCTTACCATCATGCTAGAGCCAGACCCCACGCTGCGGACCACAGCGGAGTCCCTGCTGAGCCTGCCCATGCTCCGGGAACCCAGGCCCTGGAGCGTTCTGTGGTACATGGCGGCCGAAGCCCTGAGCCGAGGGTTGGCACTGTGGCAGGTAAACCAGTGGGCACAGGGACAGACAGGCCGCCCCCTGCACTGTCCCAGGCACCTTCTAGCCTCGTATGCCCTCTCATTGCAGGCCCTGCTTGCTCTGCTATGCTGGCTCTGCCACAGGCTGGCCCACCCTGCCAGCTGGTTGCAGCCCCCTGGCCCTCCAGCCACACCACCTGGCTCACCACCGGGCAGCTTCCTCTTGGACAGCAGCTTCTGCAGCCACTGGGAGGATGACAGCTTCGGGTGGGTGAGGTGGGGCTGGGCAGCTCAGCATAGACTCCTCTTACAGTGCTGTGCAGAGGACACTGCATACCCGGGGGCAGGGCTAGGACCCTCACTGCCAGGAATGAGGCCGTGCAGCCCCCACTCCACTAGCCAGTGGCCAGGAACTGGGTGGGGGAAGAGTCCCCAGAGGAGTTTCTGCCATCCTGGGGTTCTTGGTGGTGAAGCAAGACTGGAATTGAAAAACAGCTATGAACAACCATGAGATTGTTCTCAGGAGGAATGTCATTCCCCCTCTGCTCCCGGGGACTCTGTAGAGCAATGTGAGATGGCAGCTCCACTACACTGAGCAGAGTTCACTTGAAAGCCAGCCCAGCAGAAGCCCCCTTGCAAAGGGAAGCCCCCCTGTGAAGGGAGCAAGGTGGCCATGGAGCCTGGGCTGGCTCAAGGGCACTAAAGTTGTAAAGCTGTTTCTCCCCGTGCACCAAGAGCCTCCGGAGGCTGGGTCACGCGGGAGCCTGGGTCAGAAGCCAGGACAGCTGATGGCACTGCCCAAACCCCCACCCCCTTTCAGCACCCTGCTGGTCTCTTGTCTTGCACAGGCCCTTGATGACGCCACAGGCCATGCTGGCCAGGACCTCAGGGAGCACGTCCACCCCCCACAGTGGCTCCCCTGCCCCCTGGCAGAGCAGGTACACACTTGGGTGAGTCAGCCCAGGGAGCTATAGGGGTGCATGGGATCCCTATGTTGGGGTGCATGGGAGCATGTGGGGATGGCTCTCATTTCTATCTTTTCTCTTCCCCTCAGGGACCCCCTGGACCTAAGTGACACCGACTCAGCAGCTCCTCAGAGCCCCTTCCCCACCTTTGAGCCCCGGAACCTCCTCAGCCTATTTGAGGACTCCCTGGACCCTACCTGAGCCCTGGGGCCCCACCTCAGTGGTTTTAACCTTTTACCTTGCCCCTCCCCAAAGCTGCCTGGTGTGCCTAATAAAGGTATTTGAGTCTTGGGCACACCCCAGAGCGCTCAGGTGGCAACATATTGCTTCCTGCTCCTTTTATTGATGTTGCCCGGGGTTTTAAGGCCCTGATGAGGAGCCCTGCCGTGTGTGGAGCCTAGGGGCCCTGGGCCAGCATCCTAGAATTGGGAGCCAAGTGTCTGTGTGGAGCAAAGCAGGTTTCCTGAGCAGGCACATCCCCACGGTGGGCAAATGGGCAGGCAGGCAGGCCCTCAGCCTCCTGGGTATACGCCCAGGGTCATGCACGTCTCTGTGTCTCTATGCCCGGAAGCTGCAGCATCTCAGTACAAGAGGGGCCAGTGCCGGCTTAGTCCTTGAATGAAGAGGCCAGTCCTGCTGCCTACAGATCCCGACTCTGCAGACTGCTGGGAGGGCAGGCATGCAGGGAGAGGGATGAGGCTGGGCTAGGGGGCCCAAGAGAGGTCTGTGTAGGGGTGCTGAGGAGGGACAAAATGAGAGGGGCAGCAAGTTGTAACTCCAACTGTCACAGCAAGACATGCCTCCTAGTTCTTCTGGCCCAACCCTCACAGGGCCCAGAGAGTAGACTCAGGCCCAGAGGGCATGCGCGCATGGTTCTTTTCCAAGCAGTGCCCTGGAAGACAGCAGGGGCAGAGCTGGTGGAAGAGCAGGCTGATCCATGAAGAATGAAGGGGTGCACGAGAGCTCCTGCAGGGAGTATCCAGGGAGCCAGCCCCTTGCAGACCAGCAGGAGGAAATCATGGTGGCATTGGCCCAAGGTGTTCAGGCCAGCTGACTCAGTCCGGTGGGCAGGCGTGACGGGCGGCCCAGAGCAGGTCAGGTATAACACCTGCGTGCAGCTGCAAGATGGAGCCCACGCTGAGCAGGTGCATGATCTGATGGGAGTTGCCCCAATAGTCAAAGCGGCCGGGCCCCCAGCGCTCAGGCAGGCGGGCCACATTCACCAGCCCTCCGAGCAGAGCCAGGGCGTCCATGCGCAGATAGCAGGGCAGGGAGCCTGGGGCCCCTGAGCCCAGCCCCACTCCCCGGGCCCCAAATACTAGGAGGCGGGCACCAGCCTGCCAACCGAAGGCGCGGAGACGGGCGCTGGTGGAAGGGGCAGTGAGGGCCCTCCAACCGGCTACCCCTGACAGCATGGTGTAGCCCAGCAGGGCGGCTGGGCGCAGCCAGGGCCTGCAGGCCAGGGTACAGTGGATGATGGGCAGGGCCCCTGCAGAGGAGAGGGGGAGAGGGGCACAGGTTGTAGGGTATGCCTTCCCCTCCTCCACCCACCACTTCCCCCTCCAGACCCTGTGGTGGCTCACCAAGTGTGTTGACGAGGCAGACCCCACACATATCCAGGGCGAGGAGCCGGGCGTATACTGGGCTGCCCCCTTGGTGGCACATGAAGAGATGATAGAGCACAGAGCCTGCGGGGGGCGCCAGGCAGGCCACACAGTGTGTACCCCCAAGCCAACCGTCCTTACCCAGCTGGCCCCAGGGCACTGTCATAGGCAGCAGAACCAGGAACCCCAACAGGGCCAGTCCTGGGGAAGAGACACAGTGAGCTGTTTGACAATGCCGAGTACCAAGCCTGCTCTGGGGACAAGCCCTGGACAAGGGGCAGCCTTGTCCCACGGAGACCTCGGTCTAAAAACAATACAATAACACTGTCAGATGACCACAGGACAGGCTCAGTCCTGGGAAGTAGGCCACTGAACTATGAAACAGGCTTGGAGAGGCGAACCCAGTAATTGATGGGGTGGGACCACTTCAAGCAGTCTGTCCCCAAGCCCCCCCCCCCAAATAAGGGACCCTAACCTGACAGGTCATCAGAAGCAGTAAGCAGGCGCTCACCCCTCTGTCATATGCTGCTCGCCCCCCCCCCCACACACACCCAAGCAAGGGACCCTAACCTGGCAGGTCATCAGAAGCAGTAAGCAGTCATTGCCCTTAAGCTGAATAGGATGTGGGCAGTAACAGCAGACCCGTGCCTACTTGCCCCTCCTGACCCCTATGACCTGTACTCTATGTAAACGTGCATAGAAACAGGATTTGGGCCTTTTTGTCTTCCAGAAAAGGGCAGGGCAGGGCCAGCCAGGAGAAGCAAGCCTGTCCTATTTCCTCAGACACCCCCTCCAGGAGCTGGTTCCTTCTGCTCTCTGAAATGGAATCCCACACTGAGCTCCCCAGCCCAGGTCCCTTCTGACAGGATACTTTGGGACTGCCCTCCACGGAGTCAAACGGCGCCCTATAGCCTTGGGGCTACTGGCTGCATACTCTACTTGGGGTCTGGTAGGGCCGGTTTCCCAGTCTGGCCAGTTCCCCATACTGGGCCGTGCCGGGCCCCTCTGCCGGCTGGGGCAGCTCAAGGACGGGCAGGGCTGTGTCAGCAAAGCGGGGTGGCCGCGGAGGAGGGGCCGGGTGCCTGCAGGGGAAAAGGGAAGGGCCGCCACCAGGCGGAGCCTCCGGGCTGCTGGGTTGGGGGTGGCCACGCGGGGAGGGGCTGGGCTTCTCCTGGGCCTCTCCTCGCCCAGTCAACACCCATCACCTGGATGGGTGTCAGTAGAGGAGGGTGCCCAGGGCGCCTAGATTACTGAGAGCTGGACGTCAGGTTCCTTCCTCGGGGCTCAGAGGGATTAGGCGGGCGCTGTCTCCACTATGTTCCCCTCGCCTGCCCCGGGGCCCCGCCGGGAGAGTGGAAGCGCGGGCAGCGCTGACCCGGACAATGGCAGCTTTGTCACCGCGGCTCCTGGCCGTACCAGGGCCGGCCGGCGCGGGCTCACCGTGAGTGTAGATGTTGCCCAGCTCGTTGTGCAGATAGAAGAGGCTGCGCAAGCAGCCCGAACCGCTGCTGGCCGGTCGGTACCCAGTCAGCACGAACTTGTTGAACTGCAGGTGCGGCGGCGAGCTGGCCCAGTCCAGCAGGCGAGGCCCGGCCAGGAAAGCCATGGCCTGCGGGCACCACTCGCCGACCTCACGCTCAGCGGCGCCGAGGAGGCGCCGGGACATTCATACCCTGGCCCAGCCGGCCGCACGGGCCCAGTCCGCGCACGCGCCGCCCGGTGGTCCTGGTCTGCGCCCCTCAACGCTGCGCACGCGCGAGCCCGGCGTCCCCGCGCCTCCGGGAAGGGTGGAGGACGCACCAGCGATGGAGCGCAGTGCGGGCCCGAGCCTCCAAGCAGGGACAGCGCGCGGCAGCAGCCAGCCGGTCGTCTCGCCGCAGCCCCGCGGACGGGTGCGGCCGGACGCGGGAGGGGACACCAGGCTCCGCCCCGGCTTTCGCCCCCGCCAGCTGCGGGCGTTTCGCGCGCTAGGCTCTTGACGTAAACGCGGCCGCGTCCAATTGGGGCAGCTAGTGGGGCGAGCCCGCCCAGGTCCTGGCCTCTTGGCATAATTTATGCAATCCGGGCCTCTTTGGAATCAGGGACGCTCGGCTTGTGACCCGAAGTTCTAGTTCCCGGTGGCAGCCCCGGCGCCACACATCCCTCAGCAGTGTGCGCCCAGGCTGTCCCCGCAAACCCTGGGTCCCCGCCCGCTGGGCGCCAACTCTGACCATCGCAGCCCCAACACCCAGCCCACCCGCAGCCCAGGCTCTGTCCAAGGTGCTGCAGTCCCGGGGCGGTTCGAATGGTACTGGACAAAGTTCCCACACAGGGCGATCTCTCCAGTGGCCCAACTCTCGGAGCGCAGCAAGATGCCCAGGCCTTTGCAGTGCCTGGCGCCCTTCAGATCAGGCATTTCCGAGCTTGCCCTCGGCCCAACTCGCTCTTCCTTTCACCCACGAGGCGCACCCTCGACCCCGCCCAGGGCAAGCGGGAAAGGTGGAGAAGGGAGAGGCAGGAGGTGCGAGGTGAAAGGTCAGCCTAAAGGCCAGCTCCCCCCTCCCCCGCCCCGTTCACCGGAACCAGGTCCAGAAAGGCACCCTTCTGCAATGACCATGCCCACAGCAGGTGACTTCACCATCCCACCGCTTCGCAGCCGTCCCGGGCCTTGCACACCACATCACAAAACGCAGAGAGCGGAACAAGCCCTCTTCATTTGAATAGACACACCCAACTTTCAGCTCTATTATGGATGGAGGCTCGCGTCCCGCACTCCGTATTTACCTAGTTGCTTCCCACCGCGTAACAACTTGCCCAAACCTGAATAAAAATAAGGTCCTTTATTCAAAGTCTGTAGCTGTTCATTTGACCACTAGTGTTGATCTCTGGCCTCTCCCTGAAGGCAGTAGTCCAGGTGGTCCCACAGACCCCTGAAACTAGAGAAACCTTCCCCACAAGGAGCTCATGGAAGGGTTTGCTTCTTTTGTCCTTAAACATCTGGACCCCAGGGTCAGGTCAGGTCCAGATGTAGCACCAGAATCTTCCTTTCCGACTCTGGCCTCCCGGAGATGACCAGAGGCCGAGCTGCCCATAAAGGGGCGGAAGGCGGAGGTAGCATGTGGTACAGCATTTTAGGTGTTACCCGTCCGGCTTAGATGGACCTCCCAGGGCCCTAGTCAGAGAGCCGAGATGAGTGAGCGAAGCGAGCTCTGGCTGGATCCACTAAGAGGCCGGTAGCCCGCGGCTGGACCCTCAGCCTGGGGATCCGCAGGAGGACAAGGCAGGGCCACCCCTTGCGGTCGACGGTACCAGACGGTCCAATTTCTCCCTGATCCCCGGGAAGGCCCCAATGCTAGGGGCCCCTTCCCCGGAGCCAGCAGACAGTTCCTAGGGAGGGAGCAGACGTCAGCTGGACCCGGAGCCCACCCCGGCTTCCCACCTTCTTGCCATCCCACGCCTACCCCGGAACTCTCGCGGCCCAGGCTCCCCACCAGTGCCCCGCTTGCGCCCTCAGGTTGGGACCCAGCGCCTGCACCTTCGGCACAGCAGACGCAGCAGCGAGAGCAGAAGTAGTAGGGCCGACAAGGCGGTCACCGAAGAGAAGACCCGGGCTGCAGGGACATGGACGCATGAGGACGTGGGAAGGACCGCACCCCAAACTCCCTCCCTCTCGCCTCTCTCGTTCCGCCTCACCGCCCATCGCCGCCTTGGGAACTCCGGGCCTGGGGCTGCAGCTCGCATTGGCCCTATCAAAGGACGCCGCGGGGGTCTGCACCGGGGCCCCGGGGGGCGCCTGCTCCTCAGGAGCGTCCCGCAGGCCTGCGGAGAAGGGAATGGGTGAGGCCGGGCCGTGTGGCGGGGGGCGGGGGGGGGGCGGGCGGGCGGGGGGGGGGGGGGGGCCGGGCGGCGGGGCGAGCCTCTCACCACGGTAGGTGAGCGCGAAGCCCTGCGCATGACCGCGCGCGTCGCTGCGGAAAGTGAGCAGCAGCGCGGTGGGCCGCAAGCGCAGGGGTCCCGGCGGCGGCGGGCGGGCACCGTCGAAGGCATGCAGTAGGCGGCCCGAGGCGGCATCGCGCAGCTCTAAGCGGTCACGCTGGTCGGCCAGCTCAAAGAGGCGGAAGATAAGCTCCAGCGCGGTGCCTGGCGGGCCAAGCGCCCAGCTGCAGTTCCGATCCGGCCCGTACTCATCCGGGAAGTCCGGGGAGTAGATGACGCCCTGAGGCGCCGTCCAGTTCCCCTGGCAGGAACCCACCGACACTGCGGAGCCCGGGGGCAGGCGGTCAGAGACGCCTCACCGCGCCCCACCGCTGTACCTGGCCCCTAACGCTGTCTTTAACACCATTCTCAACTCCATGTCCAATCAGTCCTCAAGCTCCACCCTTTTACCCTCTGGTTCAGCACAGGCCCCTCCTCAAACACCACTCTCAAACTCAGGCCACACCCCTCATCCCAATAGACTCCGCCCCCAAACGTAGGCCCCGCCCAAACATTCCACAGCCCCAGGTTCAGTTGTCTCCTCCCGCCTGGCCTCACACCCATCAGCTAACCTCAGAGCAGGCCCCTCCCAACCTCTTCAGTAGGTTCCTCCCCCAGACCTCTCTTTGGGCCCTGCCCCTAGGTTTTTCCCAGTTTCATCAGGCCTCGCCGTAAGCAAGGCCTGCCAGCCACTCCTCAAACCCCGCCCTCATTATCCTGGTTCAGCCCTGCCCTCAGCCCCACATCTTCCTTTTCCAAATTCTATCTCCTACATCTGGACCTCACGCAAAGCCCCCCATCACCTACCCCCTAAGTCTCCACCCACTCCTCACCTTCGTAGATACCCAAGCGCCCGTCGCCACCACACAGCTGGCCAGGGTGGCCGAAGCAAATCTGGTCGCAGTCGGTGGCTGGGGCTGGACGCCCTCGCGCCAGGTCGCTTTCTGAACCACAGAAGCAGGCGTAGCCGGCCTCCACCCCCGCCAGCTGGGGACACAGAATGGGTGACCGCAGAGGCAAGGGTTCGGGGTAGAGTCGGGGTGGGAGAGGGAAAATTAGGTAGGAGATCCAGAAATCAATGTCCAAGTTTGGCGTCAGAGTTGGGTGGAGTCTATGGCCTGGGGAGCCAGTACCTGGTAGCCTTTCATGCGGCAGAAGCGAAGGCACACCTGGACCGTGAGCTTTGTAGAGGTGCCGCTGGGGCCGCTGAGCGCGGGGGGCGCCCCGGAGTCCACGAAACAGCCCAGGTATCCGGGCACTGAGGAGGGGCGCCTTGTCAGGTCCCTCCGCCAGCCCCAAAACCCCCAACATCTTTGCTCCTGCCCCCGACGGGTCCACTCACTGTGACACGTGGGGATGTCGCAGTAACGCCAATAGATACCCTCTTCCGTCTCAGCCACGTAGCACCAAGGCTGCACGTCCCCATCTGGGTTCCTGAAGTTGGAGGAAGGGGCAAGTGGTCGGGATCCCACCACTCAAGAGCTCCAGCCCCAGCCACCCCCACAGCCCGTTCGCGCCCGGTTAGCTTCAGGCTCATCTTCGCCTCGCAGCAGTCCTCGTTTCCCACGTGTTTCTGGACGTGGACTTCTAAGGGGGTCTTCAGAAGTCAGTTCCTAAGGGGGGCTCTGAGGGCTGTTTTTAGTTTTCAGCTGTTGTTAGGACAGCTATCATTTATGGGGATGCGGAGTTTCCGTCTGAGGGCAGAGTGGTGTAGCCTAAGTACTTTGTGGCCCATCAGAGAAGGACCGTCCTGCCCAGGCCCTTCCAGAGCGCAGGTGTGGCGCTGGAAGAAACGCGCCACCCCGTCCCAGCCTCAGAGAACCGGCACCTTCGAGCCCGCCCGCCGGCCTGGTCCCTCCTCCCCGCTCTGCAGGTGGGCGCCTAATGCCCGCCCGCCCCAGGGGTGTCAGGCCCCGCCCCGCCCCGGACCCGGACCGGCAGAAGTTGTGCGCGCCCAGCCCCCAGCGGCCCTGGGGGTCGCTGTAGCTGCTGTAGCTGTGCTGCTGCGTCTGATCCCAGAAGAGACATGGACGACCGGCCCCTCTCGGGCCCGTTCGGTTCTGGTGACCACGATAGTCGGCGCCGTTCACCTGGAAACACTCGGACAGGCCTGTCAGGTGACGGCAGGGTTGGGGGGATCCAGACTAGACCGTTTCCCAACACCCATTGCTGCCCAGCCGGCCCCACGCCCAGCCCACTCCACTCGGGGTCCCCAGGCTGTCCACTGGTGGCTAGCGTCGGGGGCGGGCAGGAGCCTGGGAGTCACATCAGGGACCCGACCGCCCCCACTCACCTGGGCTGTGAAGGCTCACCGCTGAAGCTCCCCGCAGTGGCAGTGGTGGTAATGGGAGGACAAGGAGGGCCAGGACGCCCTGCAGGACCCGTGTTCCCATCGTCCCAACCCAGGACACGACCCGGGCCCCTCTGCGGGGGCGCTCGGGAGTCTCCTGAGCACCCTGAGGGGCGTTGTCCTCTGTCTGTCCTCGTCCCACCCTGGGGGACGTTCCCCGTCCGGGGGAGGACGAGTTTCTGTCTTTGGAGGTGACTCTCTGACTCGTCCCCTCGCAGGGGTCTTCCCCGCGTCCCTGACCCCAGAGTCCAGTCTCTCGTCTCGCCGTTCTTGGGGTCCTGCAATGGCTTCCACACCAGCCCCTCCCGCTGCGCCTGGTGCTGTGGGTCCCCTCACCCCGGTTTCCAACTTGCTGGCGCCCGCCCCCCGCGTCCCTCACGGGTCCCTCCCCCAGGTTCCTCCCTCCCCCTGAGGGAGGCCCAGGAAGCCCCGCCCGGTACTGGCACGGAGCAGCAGGTCCAGACGCCTCGCCAGCCCGCCCCCCCCCCCCCCTCCTGGGAACCCAGGCGTCCTGGCGCCGCCTTCTCGCCCCCTCCCCTTCTGAGGTGGATCCCTGTGGGTTCTGGTGGGTCTGTGAAGGAGGATAACCACGATGCCAGACAGCAGAATCCTAACTGTGCCCCACACCTCCTAATGCCGTCCGCAGCAGCCCAAGGATCCAGGGGTCAGTGGTCTCCAGCCCCTAATTAAGTGCACAGCACGTTCCCGCATAGTCCCCATTCAGGGTCAGACCAGGCTCACGCCGTCCCTTCCAGCTCCCGGGTGCCTGAGTCTTGACTCAGTGGACTCGCTGCTCCCGCCCCCTGAGACAGGCAGGCTGGTGGGCGCTCAGGCCCGGGACAGGCAGGGGCAGCTGGTGTCTGCCTAAGGAGGCAGCTGCGTCCCGTCCCAGCCCGGCCCCTCCCTCAATCCCCCGCCCTGGGACCCTCGCTGTACCGTGGAATTCCCCGAGCGGCGCCCCCCACCTGGCGAGGAGGGGGAGGGGCAGGCCCAGGCAGGCGTGGGGGGGAATTCCCCGCCCCCTCCCCCCAGCCGGCTCCTCCAAGGCCTCTGATCTCCCAGCTCCGCCCACCCACCACCCCCAGGGCTTGGGGGGAGGCCAGCGCAGGTGCGTGGGACAAGGAGGCTGAGGAGGGGGTACATGGCCCAGAGCCACCCGGACCCGCTGCCCTGCAGTCCAGCCTTCTGGCCCGCATCTGGGCACTGCCCAGCTGTCATGCCAGTATATACATCTTTCCTAGTCTCTGCCCCTCCCTCAGCCCTCCCCCCCAGCAGATGGGGAAACAAGATGGGGGCGTAGTGTGTAAGTCTGCCGGAGGGCACCTTGCAGTTAAGGCTTCACACAGAGGTTCCTGAGGTCGGGGTTAGGTCACAAGGGGTGGGGGTGTTTGGAGGTGGACCCCCTGGGACTCAGGGCTGGGACTCAGGGCGGTGCCCGCATCCCCTCCTCTGGGAACCCTCTCTCAGCTCCCAGACTGGCCCGAACTCGCCTAGCTTCCCGGCCCCCTGAGCTCAAGTCTCCTGCCTGACGCCCCTCTAACGAGGGGAGTAACCCGTGACCCAATGTGCGGAAGGAGATCAGCCAGGCGGATTGGTGGGCCCGGTCTTCTTGGTTGAGCTGGTCCATGACTCTACACTACCCATAGGGACTGCCCAGCCTCATTGCCCTGGCCTGGAAAGGGGGCAGGGAAGAGAAGGACCAACCAGGAGCGCCCCCCCTTCCCCACTCAGAGCACCAAGATCTGTGGGTATCCTAGTCACAAGCTCTAGAACCAAGCCACTCATGGAGCCTTCTGCAGAACTCAGGAAGGCCTCCACTCTGTGCCTACCACCACTTCTCCAATGTCCCATGTTCAGGATTCATAAGCATCTGTATATTCACCCCTCCAGACACCTTGGGTGTCCAGGATCATTTTCCAGCTTGCGCCTGGGCAGCTTGGGCTGAGAGATGTCCCATTATGTAGTCTGAAATCACCCAACTGTTAGCATCTAAATTGGTACTCAAACGCAGAGTTGTCTAGTCCAATCGCTGGGCATTGATAGGTGCTGGCACCCTACCCCTGCTTTGGGGGTCCCTTACTTTGCAGAGGGACCTCTGAGTATAGGGTTTCTAGCTCCCCCTTCATTCACACCCTGGGGTCCCACCTCCAGCCCTTGACCCTGCCCTGGACAGACATCAAGCAACTAACTACTCATTTCAGAGGAGAGTGAAGGTAGAAAGGAGCTAGGGCTCATCTCTGGAACACCAAGGCCGTCTCCTCCTGGGACCCCTTCCCCAGTTCTGAGACATTCCCCCTCTCCTCCCCCCTCCACTCCAGCCTTGTTGTTGTTGTTAGGTGCCATCGAGTCCGTACCGACCCATAGCGACCTTATGCACAGCAGAACGAAACACTGCCCAAGCCCTGGGCCAACCTCACTACTGTTGCCATGCTTGAGTCCACTGATGCTGCCCCTTGGCCAATCCACCTCATTGGGGGTCTTCTTCTTTTTCTCTGACCCTCCATCTTATCAAACATGATATCCTTCTCCAGCGACTGATCCCTCCTGACAATATGTCCGATGTATGAGAGACAAAGTTTAGCCATCTTGGCCTCTAAGGAGCACTCTGCCTGAATTTCTTCCAAAACGGATCTATTGGTTCTTTTGGCAGCCCACAGCACTTTCAATATTCTCCATCATAACTCAAAAGCATCAATTCTCCTACGGTCTTCCTTATTCACTGTCCAGCTTTCGCATGCATATGAGGTTATTGAAAATATTATGGCTTGGGTCAGGCGCACCTTAGTCCTCAAGCTGACGTCTCTGCTCTTCAACACTTCCACTCCAGCCTGGTCATCTCCAAAGCCAGGGGAGTCGCAGGTGCGAAAAGGCCACAAGGGGGCAGTAGAGAGAAAGGAGCCCAGGCAGGATGCGGAGAGACTAAAACAAACCCAGGTCCTTCTAGCCTGTCCTCTCTCCTCTGAGGGCAGGCGTCCAGATTTAGTGGGGTCCCCTTTTGTGCAGGACACAGTAAGAAATTGGGGGGCCTTGCTCACGAGATGGGTCAGGCCAACTGACTACATACGTAGCAAAGGGAAAAGCAGATTCAGCCCTTGTCCCCATGAGCGCTAGGTATTACATATTTGAGCCTTTAATTCTGCCAGCAAAGTGGGGTTCAAGCAGGTTACCACATCAGTCAAAAAGTCTGGGTTACACCCACTGCGCAGCCACTTTTAGCTTTCTCCCCTCACCTTTCTAGTGGGGATAATGGTTTCTTTGGGGTCCACCTTCCTGGTAGCTCTGCTTGGGCTCTCCCTCAGAATGAAGCCTGGGGTATCACTTACAGTGAGACCTGGGTTAGGGACACAGGCAGCAGCAGCAATTGAGAGATTTAACAAAATAAGGTTTATTAGGAGTGGGGAGGGTGTAAGCAGTGACAGAGGACGGGACACGAGAGGTAGAGCCCACAGCTGGACACAACCCAGGGCTCCTGGGAGTGGGGCCTCGCAGCTTCATGTTCCCAGTCACAGGCTGGGCAAGGAATGTCGTGATGAACTTGAAAACTCACGCAGGAGGACTTGGCCTTGAGAGCAGGGACTCACCAGCCCCTCTGCATAGCTACCTAAGGGGGAATGGGGCGCATTCCTAGTAGCTTTCAGACCTTCCTCTCCTCTCCTCAGCCTTTGGGTGACTGTGGGCAGCTGTCTGCCCTGCATGGAGGCCTGCAGACCCTGGGCTGGGCTCCCACCTCCAGGAGGTATGCACAGTGGGTTGTGTAGTTGGGACAGTCAGGGAAAGAGGACGTGAGGTGCCTCTGGTTTGGGTCGCTGTGAGGTGAGAGGAACCGTGGCTGCACCTGGCAGAGGGCAGCCAAAGGCGACGGAGGCCTGTCTGCCACTGTCCTCAAGATACTTGTCCCCAGAGGACAGGTCCAAGTGACAGGCAGGGACTCTGGCACAAGTGCCCACAGTGACATCTCATTTTATGAGGTCAAGGCGTGGCCCTGGGGCGGCACTCAAACCTTGCCAGTCAGGTCTCTGCAGGCTGCCAACGCCAAGCACGGTTCTTTGGGGCCCGAGAACACCAAGGAAGTGTTCCTGCGGAGTGACCTCTGGAGTGAGGGGAAAGGCTCTCGATGCCCTTGGGAATGTGGAGAGAAGCGTTTGTCAAGCACAATCTAACTGGCGGGAAGATGCTGGTTCCCATGTGGACATGAGACATCCCTGATGTCTGGGATCAGCACAGGGCCTCTCCTCTGGCGGGGCAGGAGGTTCTGCATCACGGTGACTCACTCTCCACTTTCACACTTGCGATTTTCCTGGTCACAGAGAAACACATGTGCTTTATGAAAATTCAAACATGGCATGAATAGGCAAGACAGGCAGTCAAGGACTCCTGATGTGCTCTCCCCTAGATATAACCATGGACTAGGTCATTGTTTAATACCTGCACAGCACTGGACTACAAACCACAAGGTCCGCAGTTCAAGCCCACCAGCCACTCCATGAGGGAAAAACGAGGCTTTCTGCTCCTGAGAAGATTTAAAGCCTCGGAAATCCTATACAAGGTCACTACCAGTTGTAACGGACTCAACAGCACTTAACAACAACAAAAAATACACATTGTTGTTGACTTGAGATCTTCTCTTTTAATATAGATGTTTACAGCTATACATTTTCCTGAAAGAACTGTTTTAGCTACATCCCATATGTTTTGGTATATTATACCTTCATTTTCATTCACATCAAAGTGTTGTCTAATTTCCCTTGTCATTTCTTCTTTGACCTGTTGGTTATGTAGGAGTGTGGCATTTGAAACGTTACATATTTGTGAGTTTCCCAAATTTCTTTCAGTTATTGATTTCTTATTTTCTTCATGTGGTCAGAGAACATATTCAGTATGCTTTTAGTGCTTTGGACCTTACAGAGGCTTGTTTACGAACACTGTCGCACATGTGCCTGAGAAGAGCGAGTATCTGACTGTTGGTAGCGGCTTCCTTCTTGCTGTGCTCTCTCGGATCACTCACTCTGGGGGAAGCTGACTGTCTTCAGGTCTTGCGAGCAGTCAGATAGATCTACGGAGAGGACCATATCGTACTGAACTAAGGCCTTTCATCAACAGCCATGTGAGTGAGTGACAAGCCATTTGAGAGCGGATCCACAGCCCTGGTCAAACCCTGAGGTGACTGCAGCCTTGGCCGCCATCTTTTCTTCTCCCCCATCCAGCCCAGACATTCCCAGATTCCTCTCCCATGGAAACTGTGTATTTTCAGAACCTGCTGAGTTTTGCCTAGCTTGTGATGCAGCATTAAATAACTATTCCAATTACCCATAAAGCTGCTGGCTTTCTGGAGAGCAAGTCTTGAAGCACAGTTGCACTTTTGGTAGAAGTTTTATCTTTTCTGAGGGAAAGAAAAAAAAGAAAACATGGATAAATAATTCTTTTCTTGAAGTTGCCAGAGCCAGTACCACACACCTTGTCAATAAGGATCCCAGTGACTGATTTGGAGAGTCAGTGGGAATCCTAATTCAACAAGCTATTTGAGGCCCATAGGAGTTCACCTCCATACAATTGTATGGTATGTTCTAGATAGAGAATATGTCAAGAAACAATCACTTCACGTTCTGGTATTTATGTTTAATAAAACGTTCTGTGATTTTGCAAAAAAAAAAAAAGAATTTGCCTAAGTCCATAGTCTGGATGGGTAAAAGAGGGGAAATAATATTAAGGTGCTTGACTGTCTAATGAATCTTGGTTTCCCTTGCCTACTATTGTAAAATAGACACTTGAGTGGTATAAAAAGGAACATCAGGAAACATGATTACAGGAAGCCTGTGAGCCTGCCCGCAGCGTATAACATTGGGATACCTAAAAGGGGTTCTAGAACTTGCCCAGTGAAATAGGGTTCTTGCGGAGCCTTGGTAGTGTTTAGGACCTTAGGTCCTGAGCCCCATCTAGAACCTTCTGAGGTGGGACATTCCCACTTGAAAGGACAAGCAGACCAGCCTGGAGCAGCTAGAGGAACAGAAGATACTTCTTGAAGGAAAGATCAGCAGGAAAAAAATCCAAAACAAAAATGGCGGTCAGATTGGCTACTATAAGAACAAGCAAGTTGTTAGGAAGAGAGCCATCAAGGCAAGCAATCAAGTCCCTTCAGGTACCCCCCTCCGAGACTAAAACTCAAAAGGAACACACGAGCAGGCATGTAAGCTTGCTGGTGACCAAGTTGGTCTACTGGTGAGTGGAAGTAAGAGGAAAGGCAGCAATGAAGATATGGGCTAAGTCTGACCACGTTCCATAGACCCCCATAGACCTGGAGATGAGCGAGAGAGGAGGAAAGGCTGGTTGGTCTGAAGTGTGGTGAGACCTGGGGACTCCTGAGCCCATGGACAAGGACACAGCCACAGAGGGCTAGAGCCGACAATGAAGCATCCAGCTGATATGAAGTCAGGGGAGATGCACAAGAGTGCCCAAACTTGCAGATAGTACCCATTTAACCTAGCTTCGATAGCTGGCTGATCAGAACTTGACTAGTGCAAGAGAAAAATTTTTTTGATAAAGGAAACAAGTGTCAATTGCTCTAATTTGATGACCTTGACCTATACTAATGGATGTAGTAGCTCAAAATACCAACTGAGAGGAAAGGAGTCTTCACATCAAGGATCAATCCTGTTCCCTCTGTACACAGGATTGATAGAGATGGGCAATTTAGACATTAGCTCCCTAAAATGGGGGGGGAGGGGCTATAAAGGCATGAAGACACTGGCTTACAAGTTTTCAAGAGGGAGTCTAGTTTCAGAGTGTGTAGGGGAAGGTAGAATCCCCACTGAATAGTTTTCATCTTGTCTAGATGGATCTGGTGAATGGAGATGGGGAATAAGATTCTTATGATTCAATAGTGAGTAACTGTTGCTATGACTAATTGCAATGGTCACAAATGTAAAGGTAGAAGTTTTGTAACATAAAAGGATGAGTAGTTAATTTTACAGTTAGGAACAGAGGACCCTAGGCCCATCAAGGGAGATGAGCACCAGCAGAATGTGGGACTCTATCCAGAAAAGCAGAGACACCAGAGATGGAGGCAGAGACGAGGACATGGAGAGATAGAGCAGCCGAGGACTCTAGATTCATGGAAAGAGAAAGACTTCATGCTGGCAGCCAGGAGGCAGGCTTACAGCATTTGTCCTTTGGTTGTTTAAATTATTATATATTCCTGAGTGTTTTTGTGTACACCCTCCCCCACCAAAAAAGCAAACAGAGGGAATAGAAGTAAATAATGTTGAACGGTGAGGCACGGAGGGGATTGTAATCATTATACTGAAAAGAAATATGATAGGATGAGTGCAAAACTGATGTTCTCCCATGTAAACTATCACTCAATTTACAATAAAAACTTAAAAAATAAATAAATAGTTCCTCTTCAACCCTGTCATCAAAAGGGTTGAGACTCAACTGGTATCCAAGATAATACTCACAGTGGGTGAACCCATGAGCGTCAATGGCAACCCATACCTTCTGCTTCTGACTGAAGCCAAACACTAGCTTTTAGTGGAAATCGCATCTTGTAGTGGTTTTCTACAATGTGGATTCACTTTCCTGCTTTTCAAGATGGGCCCTTAATGCTCACGTGAATCACTAGGAGGCTCACTGCTTTGGAAAGACCCCAAATCTAAACCCACTGAGTTATTGAGTCAATTCCCACTCATTGCCACTCCGTTGGGCAGAGCAGAACTACCACATTTGGTTTCCGAGGCTGAACGTTTACAGCTGCAGACTGCCACAGCTTTCTTCCGACCTTGCAGTAATAGCCCCATGCTTACTCCATGGCTCAACCAGGGCTCCTGCTTTGTAAACACAGGTTTATGTTCTGGCTATGTGAACGAAGTCCACTTTTAACTCGATGAAATAGAATACTTTGAAAATGTTGCATGTGTGTGATGTGTGTGCAAGTACACACTCAGATGTGCATACTCTTATAAGTCCATCTGTTGTTGTTGCTGTTGTTAAGTGCCAGTGAGTCAGTTCGAACCCACAGTGACCCTGTATAGGGTTTCTGAGGGAGCAAGTGGTAAGCTTGAACTGCCAACCTTGTGGTTCAAACTGACTTTGCAGTGCAGCGCATTAACCCTCAGAGCCACCCCAGGACTCTAGCAGCCTGCATTTTTTCATTAGATTTTTCAAAGGGAACTATGATCAGTAAAATGTTAAAAGCCCTTAAAATTAAAGAAACATGGACATGAATTACTAGAAGGGACTAATTTAAGTGTTTTCAGGTCATAGAGAAAGTGCCACTAGAGAGGAAAAGTAGAAGATTCTAGAAAGAAGGTTGGGCCAGAACTCAAAAGAGTAACTGACCACTATAGGCTCTGTCCCTGTACTAGGCGGCAGAGACCAAGACACACACAAAACCCATTGCCACCGAGTCAATTCCAACTCCTGGAAACCCCATGTGTGCTGGGATAGAGCTGTGCTACCCAGGGTTTCATGGCTGGGAACCTTCCAGAAATGGATTCCCAGGCCTTTCTGCCAAGGGACATCTGGATGGACTGACACTGCTGCCCTTTAGGTCAGCAGGCACCTAGGGACTCTCAGGACATCCCCAGCCTTTCACATGCCATCCCCCACTCCCCTGTACCTGGGCCCTCCTGCTGGGCCAGGCCAGGGAGCCGCTCCCGCTGCCGAAGCGCCTCCAGGCCCCCCAGGTCAGGTAGGTGGCAGTGCCCCCGCATGACCGTCACTCGTGGGCCCTGGGTGATGGCCCGGCTGCGGCAGCCCAGCCGAGCCTGGTCCCGGCACATCCAGTAGACCTTGTCCCCAGCTGCCTTCTCCTTCCTGTAGAGGAACGAGTCGTGCACCAGGAAACGGCCGCCCAGGGAGGTCCTCAGGAACTCCAGAGGCCGGATGGTGCCTGAGGGATAAAATGGCATGGTCAGCCGAGCCTCCGGGAGCAGGTCAGGGGGCAGAGGGCCATGGCTGGGCACCAGAGAGGGGGCTCTGTCTGCTCACCCACCAGGGACAAGAATCCCACACCTGGCCTTGGCCCCGATCCCCAAGTGTCGCCTGTCCTCCTCCACTTCTCGGGACTGCATTCTGTCCCCGTCCCCAGGGCAGAGGTCGGCCTGGCTCTCCTGAAGGGCCCCTGCCCAGCCAGGTTCTCAGCTCCAGACCCTTCAACCAGCTGGCAACTGGTTGCAAACTCGAAAACGTGAAGCAATCTTGAGAACTTAGGATGCTGAAGTGAGGGTTCATGCGGTTCGGAGCTGGGTGGCTAAGCTTGAGAAGGGACAGAGGAGGAGGCCAAGAGGGCACCAGGCAACAAACAAGCATCCTGGGACATGGGGTGACAGAGAGGCCAGGCTGCATGATGCAGGCCCCCCACTAAGGCCGGGGTCATTCCCGTCCACTGATGGCCACCCCGCCCCGCCCCCTTCTCTGGTGGTAGGAGCACTTGCCCCCACTGACCACTAACCTCAGCTTTCAACCAGGGGCCCTACCCTCAGGGGCTCACAGGCAGGACAGACAGAGGAGTGGACCTCAGAGGGGGCGTCCCAGCAGCTGGCCTGCGCTCAGGCTGACAGGACCTGTGAGGAAAAGCTCTGCCCATACCTGGGCCTTCCCACTGGGCGGGGCCGGGGAGCCGCTCCCGCTGCCTCAGAGCCTCCAGGCCGCTCAGGTCCGGGGGGTGGCTGTGGCCCCGCATCACGGTCACCCGTGGACCCTGGGTGATGGCCCGGCTGCGGCAGCCCATGCGAGCCTGGTCCCGGCACGTCCAGTACACCTTGTCCCCGGCCGCCTTCTCCCGTCTGTACAAGAACGAGTCGTGCACCAGGAAGCTGCCCCCCAGGGGGGTCCTCAGGAACTCGGGGCCACCTGCAGAGACATCAGACATGGCCAGGGGGACGGCTAACGGAGACCCAGGACGCAGGTCTTGTGGGGCAGGAGTGAGGTGGGCGTAGAGGAGCAGCACGGTCTACCTGTGTCTCCACCCACTCCTCACAGCACATGGCTCTGGGCCCCAGGACACAGCCTGGCCCCCAGCTGCCCGGTGGCTCCTTTCCCAAGCCTGAGGAGGTGGACTGGGACTCTGAGGAGGCCAATCCCTTCCACCTCGCGGGATCTGCAGGGTTCAGGCATCTTCTGTCCACTCATGTGTCCCTCCCAGGTGCCTGGCATGGGCTTGCAGGTCCTGCTGAGTTTAAGGAATTAGCAGGCAGTTCCAGTAGGGGTGGTGAGCATATAATCAGGGTACAGAGGGTCTGGGTGAGCCCAGACCAGGAGAGCTGACAGAGCAGGGACTTAACCTGGGGACAGTGCGGGGACTGGTGTCCTAGACATGCCAGGAGCTGGTGGAAGGACTGGGGTATGATCAGTCAGGTCCACAGTGTAGAGCGGAGGTGCCCCTGCCTGCCCACTACTGCAGAAAATGCAGAGCCAGTCCTGGAGGCTGGACAGACATGGAAGGCGAGTTCTGTAATCAGCCTTGGTCCCCAGCAAGCTCGAGGGAAGAATGCAGATGTTTTCAGAAGGTGACCAGAGGAGGGATTTCATAGAAACAGGAAAAAAAGACGTGGGGTACAGAGACCAAGAATCCAGTAAAGGAGGGGAGATGACGGGACACCATGGAGTCATAGGCCAAAACTCCTGGAGGGTCCTCCACCAGAGACACCTGGAGCAATAGGAAGGCGTGGTGGGCATGGTGGGCGTGATGGCTGCCGCCACCGGAGACAACTTAGCCACAGGGATGCGGAGAGCCGGAAAGAGAAACCAGTAGCTCCCCTCCAAATGGTAGAGACAAGCGAGTCGAGGAGGAAAACTGGCCACAGCCGGAGGAGAAAAATTCATGTCATGAGACCAAAACAAGAAAGTGTGAAGTAGTCAAAGAATGGGGTGGGGGGATATAGTGGAAAAAATCAACTCCTATTTTTTCCTCTTTGGTAGACAGCTGGGGAGACAAGTTGCCATGTCGCTGGTTCTGACTCACAGTGACTGCTGTCCGTGTCAGAGTAGAACTGTGTTTCACAGGATTTTCAGCTATGATCTCCTGGAAGCAGGACACCAGGCCCGTCTTCTGGGTGGGTCTAAATGAACCCCTGGGTCAGTTGTCGAGCCTTACCCATTTGTCAAAGCGGGCATAACAGTGATCTAAATATGTGCACGTACCCAAGGAAATAATGAACACAGCTCAACATGGTACTCTGGAAGGAGTTGGGGAAGGTTAAGGAGCTCTACTGACTACAACAAAAAACTGACAGGCAGCTGCCAGAGGGTCAAGCTGGATTCAGAAGAGGGCGTGGAACAAGGAGTATCATTGTTGATGGCAGATGGAACTTGGCTGAAAGCAGTGAGTATCAGAAGTACGTTTACCTGTACTTTATTGACTATGAAAAGGCTTTCAACTATGTGGAGCATGACAGGCTATGGACAATATTGCGGAAAGTATTCTGGAACCCTTAATAGTGCCCATGAAGAACCTCTACACAGACCAAGAGGCAGTTGTTGCAACAAAACAAGGAGACAATGAATAGTTTAAAATCAGAAAAGGTGTGCATCAGGGTTGTGTTCTTTTACAATATTGATTCAGCCTGTATGCTGAGCCAATAATCCAAGAAGCTGAATTATATGAAGAAGAACATGGCATCAGGATTGGAGGAAGACTCACTGACAACCCGTGATATGCAGAGGATACAACCTTGCATGCTGAAAGCAAAGAGGACTTTAAATACTTACTGATAAAGATCAAAGAGCACAGCCTCAATGTAAAGAAAACAAAAATCCTCACCTCTGGACCAATAAATATCATCAAGATAGATGGAGAAAAGATTAAACTTGTCAAAGACTTCATTTTGTTTGGATCCACAATCAACACTCATGGAAACACCAGTCAAGAGATCAAACGACGTATTGCATTAGGCAAATCTGCCACACACAACACCTCTTAAAAGTGTTCAAGAGCAAAAAATGTCAATTTGAGGATGAAGGTGCGCTTCATGGAAGCCTCGTACGTATGTGAAAGTTAGACAATGAATCAGGAAGACTGTAAAAGAATTGATGCCTTTGAATTATGGTGATGGAGAAAACTATTAAAAATACCAGATGAAAAAACAAATCTGTGCACAGCTAGAATGCTCTTTAGAGGCCAAGATGGCAAGACTTTATCTCTTGTACTTTGGACCCATTGTCTCTAGTTCCCGGAGAAGGACATCATACTGGATAAATGGAAGCTTATTCAGCAAGAAGGAGGAAGACCCCCAACGAGATGGATCGGCACAGTGGCAGCAGCAGTGGGCTCATGTGTCACAAAGGTTGAGCGGATGACGCAGGAGTGGGCCGTGTTGTGTTTTATTGTACCTATGGTTGCTATGAGTTGGCACTGACTCATCAGCACCTCTAACAACAATACCAGTGGTACAGTGGCTAAAGTGCTTGGCTGCCAACTAAAGGTTTGAACCCACCAGCTGCTCCACGGAATAAAGGTCTATCAATCTGCTCCCACAAAGATACACAGCCTCAGAAACCAGACGAGGCCGTTCGACTCTGTTCTAAAAGGTATGATGAGTTGGAATGGACTCAGCAGCAGTGAGTCTTTGATTTTGGGGGGGGCAAGATTGAGTTGGGGGCTGCTGTGTGCCTGGCACATGCACAATCATTAGACATTAGATGCAGATGCCGTAACAAAGGAGTTGGAACAGCTCACAGATGGCAGGGTGGAGGGAAGCTCCCAAGGCTCAGAAGCTGGCTGGTGTGAGAAGAGAGGCCTGTGGGGCGTCTGAGCAGGACGAGACAACAAGGCTATCCGGATGACTGTGACCAGGGCACTCAGAGCCCACCGGGTGGACGAAGTTTCCAGTCAGGTGAGCAGCTGTATGGTGCCATTGTTGTTGTTGTCAAGTGCCGTCAAGTTGGTCCTGACTCACAGCAATCCTGTCTAGGGTTTCCGAGAAGTAGCTGGTGGGTTTGAACTGCTGACCTTATGGTTAGCAATTGAGTGCTTATCCTACAGTGCCACACTAGGGCGTCGTGACTCTAGTGAAAACCAACTGCTGTGTGTCCGGACGGTGCAGACAGTTAAGCTCTCCACTGCCAACCGAAACATTCAAAGTTCAAGTCCAAGCAGAGGCACCTTAGAGGACAGGCCTCGGGAGCTTCTACTGAAACCCCACATAGCTCACAGTTCTGCTCTGACACACGGGGGGCTGCGAGGAGTCGCAGTCAATTTGGTGGCAACTGGCAGGTAGAAGGAGTGATTGGCAGGTAGTTACGGGTCCTTTAAAGACAATGACAGGCATTTACCAAAAATGGTGGAGCTGCTGGTGTGCCGTGGAGTCGGTTCCAACTCATAATGACCCTGCATAGGGTTTCTGAGGCTGTAAATCTTTATGGGAGCAAAAAACTTCATCTTTCTCCTGTGGAGCAGCTGGTAACTATTTTTGAACTGCCGACCTTATGATTAGCAGCCTGACTCGTAACCCACTAAGCTACCAGAGCGCCTTTTACTAAGAACTGTTAAGTGCTGTGAAGGTGGTCCTGACTCAGTGATCCTGTACAGGGTTTCCAAGTAGTGGATGGTGAGTTTGAACCACTGACTTTGTGGTTCGAACGAACTTGCGGTTCGGTGCTTTAGCTCACAGTGCCACGCCAGGACTCCTTTACCAAGAATCGTTGTTGTTGTGACGTGCCGTTGAGTCAATTCCGACCCATAGCGACCCTGTCTAGGGTTTCCAAGGAGCCGCTGGTGAGCCTGAACTGCCACCTTGCAGTTCAAAGGGCTTTGCCGTCTGGCGCATTCACCCACAGCGCCACCCCAGGAGTTAAAAACATTACAAACCACCTCACTGCCTTCAAGTTAATTACGGGTCATAGTGAGGAAGCAGTTCCTTCACCAGCATTTCTGAGAATCTTTGTGGGAGCAGAGCGGCTGATGGGTTTGAACCCGACCCTTTAGTTAGCAATCCATTGCTTAACCCAGTGTGTTACCACGACCCCTTAGCTGAAGCTGTCATTGTTGGTAAGAGCCATCAATTCCAACTCATAGCAAACCTGAATAGGGTTGCCGAGGCTGTAAATCTTTGCAGGAGTTGAAGGCCTTGTCTTTCTCCCACAGGGTAGCTGGTGGGCTCGAACCGCCAACCTTGCAATTAGCATTCCAGAGCTTATTCTACAGTCAGATACATGTAAATGTCACCTCTACAACCTTTCGCCACTTAAGCTCTTGGGTGTACTTGGTATTGGAAATTCTCTTCACTCAGTGTCACTGTAAAAATCAGAAAACCACCTTGGGCAATTAACTTCTCCTAGAAATACTACAGGAGCCCTGGTGGCTCTATAGGATAAACACTGGACTGCTAACCGCAAGGTCGGCAGTTCAAATCCACCACCCACTCTGTGGAGACTTACTACTACTGCCGTAAAGGCTGCCAGTCCGGAAACCCTACAAGTCGGAGCCAACTGGATGGCAACGGGGTTTTGGTTTTAGAACAACTACAGGGGCCCTGGTGGTACAGGGGGTTAAGTGTTGGGCTGCTAACTGACTGACCGGTGGGGGTTCTGAACCATCCACTGCTTCTCGGCTGTAACAGTATGCTACCGTAGATTACAACCTGGGAAACCGAACGGGGGTCTTCCACTCTGCCCTACAGGCTCATTATGAGGTGGAATCGACTCGGTGGCAACAGGATTTTGGTTTATTGACACCACTGTTGTTGTTGTTAAGTGCCGTCGAGTCGGTTCCAACTCTTACAGAGGAGTGGCTGGTGAGTTCGAACCACCTTGCAGTTCAAACGGACCTTGCAGTCCAGCGCATTAACCTGCAGTGCGACACCAGGACTGCTAACTGACACCACGAGGCCTAGAAAATCACTGGGAAAAGGTCAGCAAAGGAGGGGCATGCTCCAGGAGCTAAACTGACCGGAGCACTCAGTGGATTTGAACTCACCAAGGACACGAGACGGCACAGGACCAGGCACGTGTCACTCCTATACTGAAGGACATTGTGACTCGGGCCCACTTGAGGACAACTCACAATAAACACTACAAATTCCTTTTCTAATAAGGAGGAAGGGGACCCCGCTGAACGGCGGGGCTGGCCTAAGCCGTCAGCTGAGGACCACCACCCTTAGGGAAGAAGGAATAAGGTGAGCAGTGAGGAAAGGGAAGAATGAGGTTCCAGGAAGGCAAGGGGAGATACCTACTGTGCCAGGCACAGGGTCCTAGCCTCCTGTCTATTTCCCAAGTCCCTGCCGACTGCCCACGCTCCAGGTACCTGCGTTCCCGCGCTGAGCCTGGCCTGGGCGTTTCTCCCGCTGCCTCAGAATCTCCAGGCTGCTCAGGTCGGGCGGGTGGCTGTGGCCCCGCATCACAGTCACCCGTGGACCTTGGGTGATGGCCCGGCTGCGGCAGCCCATGCGAGCCTGGTCCCGGCATGTCCAGTACACCTTGTCCCCGGCCGCCTTCTCCCGTCTGTACAAGAACGAGTCGTGCACCAGGAAGTTGCCCCCCAGGGGGGTCCTCAGGAACTCCGGGCCACCTGCAGAGATGGTCAGGAGTTGGGGTGCGAGGAGGGGAGTGGGGGAAGCAGGGGCAGCGGGGCTGGTGCTGGCTTGGCTGACCCTGTCACCCACCAGCCCTGGACCTTGGGAAGCTGCCTTGAGGCTGTGCCCAGCTCCTGGCGAGTAGGGTCCAGAAGATGAAGACTCACCTGTGTCTGAATCCTGGTTCTCGGCTGTGGGTCCCTGCAGGGTTGGGGGCTGGTTCCGGAGCCCCTGATCTTTGGGCTTGGTGCGATTCCTGGTTCTGGGCCTGGTAAGCGTCAGAGGTCCAGGCCCCCTACGGTAGAAGAGACTGCCCACACCTCGCAGCAGCGTGTCTGCAGGGCCGCCCGGCCCGGCCTGCAGTGACTCCATGGCTCTCTCCTGCTGCCGCCGCGCCTCCAGACCCTCTACATCAGGCAGGTGGCTGTGGCCTCGCATGATGGTTACCCGAGGGCCCTGGGTGATGGCCCGGCTGCGGCAGGCATGCATGGCGTGCTCCCGGCATGTCCAGTACACCTTGTCCCCTACAGCCTTTTCCCGCTTGTACAGGAAGGACTCGTACACCAGGAAGCTGCCCCCATAGCAGGTCCGCAGGAATTCCAAGGGCCGCACCTCATCTGGGGGTGGGGGTGGGGGGGGCAGGCAGTTACCGTGGGGAGAGTGAGCCCATGGGCATCCCCTTTCCCCCAAACTGGGCAGACGTGGAGGAACCCCAGACACATTCCTATAACTGAACTACGTCCCCAAAATGGCTATACTCACGTCCTAAGCCCTAGTATGTGCACATGTGACCCTTTTTGGAAATTGTGAATTTGCAGATGGAATCAAGTTCAGATGAGGTCATACTGTGGACCAGGGAGGACCCTGAATCCAATGGGCTCAGCTGCTAACCACAAGGCTGGAGGTTTGGCCCTAAAGATGCCTTGAAAGAACAACCTGGCAATCTGTTTCCAATGAGCTCAGCCAGGGAAGTCTGCAGAGCACAGTTCTATTCTGACACACGCAGTGGCAACTGGTAAGGGACTATCAGCCAAGATTCTGCCGTGGGCAGACTCCAGTGACTGTCATTGCTGGGCGTCAGTAAGTCCAGTCTGACTCAGTGACTCCGAGGGACAGGGCAGAACTGGTCCACAGGCTTCCCAGGCTGCAACCTTTATGGGAACAGACTGCCCATCTTTCCCCTTGGGAGAGGCTGTTGGATTTGAACCACTGACCTTTTGAATAGTAGCAGAGCGCTTTAACAATGGCGCCACCAGGGCTCCCACTTGAGAGAGTAACTATGACATTCAAATTCAGATTTCTGGACCCCCCCATACCAGACCCCCACCCGCCGCAGTGGAACATTCCAGAAGGGCCTGAGATCCCTGCTTATTGTGTGTGCGGCCGCTGTAGGAGCAGAAGTCTGGCCTCATTGGTGGAAACACTACTGGGATGTTGATATTGTTCAAAGTTCCCCACACCTCCCCGCAGGCTCAGAGGGGGGTTCCCTGTGAGACTCAGGGCAGAGAAGGAGTGCAGGGAGCTCACCTGTCTCGGGGGCTGGACGCTTTTTGGGGGGTAAACTCAGCAGAGACAGGGTCTGGAGCCCCTCGTCCTCTTCTGGGGCCCGCCTGTCCAACTTGGGAGCCGGCTCCTCGGGGCACAGCCACGGGCCCACTCCCTCCAGCAGTTCCTCCTCCTGATCCTCTGGCAGGGTTGGGCTGGGCAGCTTCTCTCTCTGTCGCCGTGCCTCCAGCCCCTCCTCATCCGGAGGGTGGCAGTGACCTCGCATCACCGTCACCCGTGAGCCCCGGGTAATGGCGCGGCCCCGGCAACCACGCTCGGTGTGTTCGCGGCACTTCCAGTACACCTTGTCCCCCACAACCTTCTCCTGCTTGTACAGGAATGAGTTGTGCACAAGCAAGCGACCCCCAAACGGGGTCTTCAGGAACTCCAGGGGTCTGAGGGCTGTAGAGGCGAGAGAGAGCGTCAGCTGAGGAGCCAGCAGGAGAGCAAGGACAGGTTACGGGCCTCCCTGGACTGAAGGGGACCCACAGAGCCCACAGGGGTGACCAGGCTGGATGCTGGTTCTCAAAGCTGCTGTGGAACTTCCTAAGGGACTGTTTCCATCCCTGGGCTTGAGAGACGCCAGTGGTCAGAGACAAAGTTAGGCCCAGCTCACAGTGGAGAAACACACCCGCTGGAAAAGGGGATGTGTGGAGAGTAGCCAGCTCTGCCTAGACCCCAGTGCCCTGATCTCTGACAGCCAGCCAGGTGTGGGGACTCACCTGTGTCCAGCCTGCTGCGTTTCTGCTCAGGCGCCCAAGAGTTTGGTGGGATGGTACCATGCTCCTGGGCCGGCAGGATCTGCAGGGCCCTGGCCAGGGTGGTGGGGCCGGACACCTCCAGGGACATTAAGCAGTGCTCGCCTTTGGGTCTGGAGCCCAGTCCATGCCTGCTGTGGCCAGCAGCTGTGAGCAGGACGAGCCGGGGGAACTTCTTGGGTATCCTGGGGGCCGCAGGGACGATGTCCATGCCAGGCTGTCGGGCAGGTTCTTGGCCAGCCCGCATCCTCTCACCCTCCTGCTCGCTGGGCTCAGGAAGGGGCATCCTGGGAGCAGGCTGCCCACAGGCCACACCCAGGCCAGCAGATGGATGTTAGCTCCTCCTCCAGGCCACGGACCCTGAGGGGCCAGTGGCAACTTCCTGTGAAGGAGACAAGGTCCCACCAATGAAGGCCCAGAGGTCCAGGGCTCTAGGATGGATGGAGGATCAAGGCTAGGGAGAAAACCTTGTGGGGAGTTCTCCTCTGCCAGCGCCTCTCCCGGTTTGGTGCATCCCTTCTGTATCTCTGCCTCAGTTTCCCCACCAGAAAAGTGTGCAATCGAGTCAGTTCTGACTCACAGGAACCTTGTCTAGGGTTTCCAAGGAGAGACTGGTGAGCCTGAACCACCGACCCTGTGGTTCAACCCGACTTTGCTCCATCATATTAACCTACCACACTACACAGGGCTCCTCTAGGTCTCTGTTGTTGTTGTTAAGTGCCATTGAATCGATTCTGACCCACAGCAACCCTGTATAGAGTTTCCAAGGAGCAGCTGGTGAGGTTGAACTGCTGACCTTGCATTCAAACGGCTTTGCAGTCTGGCGCATTAACCCACAGCGCCACTCCAGGACTCCAAGCTTCTCCACCTCCCTGCCAATCTACCACACAGTTCTCAGAGCCAGATAATCAATACTTGACAAGTGGTCCAGCCCAGCTTTTGGACAGATGGAGTGACTCCTAATCACCCGATGAAACAGCAGGCCTACGGGTCGTTCTCTACCGAATGCCATCTATAGACCCTGCCTTCTGCAGATGACCACATGGAAAGGGCTTATGGCCAAACAAGGGGTACGAGCATATTAAGTATGTTGTTGTTATTGTGCTGTTGAGTCGGTTCTGACCCGTAGCGACCCTGTATAGGGTTTCCAAGGAGCAGCTGGTAAGCTTGAACCACCGACCTTTCAGTTCAAACAGCTTTACAGTCTGGTGCATTAACAACCCACAGCACCACCCCAGGACTCCAATATTAAGTAGAAGAAATAGCAAAATGAGAAGTAAATATTTTCAGACTTCCGTAATTAGACATAGCAATGCCCCATTCATTCACGCGGGAAGGCTGAGTGGCGCTCTCCAGTGTGGTTTCTGAATAACTGAGGCTGGTCCTTGGTGTTAAGTGGACTCTGACTCACACAAGTGAACGGGGCACTGCTCAGTCCTGTTTCAGCCCCACAACTGTTCCTGTGTTTGAGTGGATTGTTTCAATATTCTCCACTGACCCTCCACTTGACCACGCATGATGTCCTTCTCCAGGGATGCGTCCCTCCTGATAACACGGCCCAAGGACTGAGGTGAAGTCTCAGCATGTTCACTTTGCTGGTCGTATTTCTTCCAAGACAGATTTGTTCATTCTTCTGGCCAAAACCAAACCAAATCCACTAATGCTGAGCAGATTCCGTCTCAGAGCGCCCCTAGTAGAACTGCTCCCCAGAGTCTCTGAGGCTGTCAATCCTGACGGACACAGACAGTCTCATTGTTCTCCCGAGGAGCGGCTGGCTGGTGGGTTTGTACTGCTGACCTTGCAGTTAGCAGCCCAATGCTTAACCCACTGCCTCACAGGGCGTCTTCCTCTTCTAGCAGTCTCTGGATACACAACAGTCTTGGCCAACACCATAAATCAAAGGCATTGATTTCAGTCTTCCTTACTCGGTGCCCAGCTGTCCCATAGAAAACACGTGGCTTGGGTTAGATGCACCTTAGTCCTCAGAACGATTCTTTGCTTTTGAATACTTTGATGAAGTTATCCCTAAGGGACTCAGCATTTTATCATGGTTATCCGTGTCGAGTGATGTCTTTAAGCTTCTTATCAGTCTCTTCACAGTCACGGGAAACAGCATATAGATTTTATCATGATTGGAAAGTACTCTGTTCTCTACCCAGCTCCGCCCTTTCTCCACATTCCTTCTGTTAGGAAGGCTTCAGGCTGCCAACCTTGCTACCTTCCTGGTCTTTCCATTTAGACAATCAAGGTTCTTGGGTCTCTATGCTAAGAACAGAGCTAAAATCCCCTCACCCACAGCTGCCTAGCATTGCCCCCAACCATGCAAGCACCGTGCAGTATCAAGCCTGCCTTGGCCATTCCACGAGCCACACTCTCGCCTTCCAGGGAAGACAGTCCTCCCAGTGGAAAGACAGACCTGACCCCCAGATGGCAGCTGCTGGCTTTCCCACCATAGTTCCAAATCAGTTCAGCCAACAAGCATCTGCATAGTCCTAACATTTCAGGTTCTGCGTGAGAGGCCGGCACTGTAAAATAAATGTGACCCAATTCCATCTGGAGTCCCCGCTGCAAGTCCTAGGACTGGAGTGGGCACGGAGGACCCTGAGAATCAGAGAAGGGCTTGGGGAGGTAAGCTGAGAATGGTTTTCCACAGAGACAATGGGGGAACTGGGTTTGGCATGACACAGAATTGACAGAGGAAGGGGAAAGAGGGCGTTCAAGGCACCCAAGCTCAGGGAAGGAGGCCCTGGTGGTGCCACCTGTCATATGCCCAACTTCTAGCCAAAAGATTGGCAGTTAAAACCCACGAGGCACCTGTTTCTGAAGGGCTGCAGCCTTGAAACCCTATGGAGCCATTGCCCTCTGCGCACACGGGACTACTATGAATCAAAATCAACTCCGAGACAACTGGTGCCATCTGCGCAAGCTCGGAGTAGGACGGCAGCCAGGCGCCAGGGCAGGTGGGTCTGAGGCAATGCCAGAGACGGTGGGGAGGGCTGGGAGATGGAGGAACCAGAGGCCCTGCAGGATGGGCTCAGTCAGGACCCACACGCATTGTTGTGTCGGGAGGTACAGAGAAAATGGTGGCTGGCTGGCTGGCCAGGATCCACATCCGGTCAGGCCCCTGCACCTGAGACCAGGGACATATTCCAGGGTGGGGCATGTGCTTACACACAGCTGTTCTCTTGCCTCCAAACATCTTTAAATTGTCACAGAAAAAACAAGCCAGCAGAGCACCAGGATCTCATTCACACGTGCCGTCTAACACTAGAAGGGACGCACTGATTGTCACAAGGACTCAGACGTCCGGAGAGTTCGAAGCCACCCTAGTGGCTGCCAGCTGGAATCCTGTCCTCAGAACTGCAGCTCTGTCCCAGGCAGCACTGGGGCCCCGGTGAGGCATGCTCAGAGACAGAAGTACTGGAGTTTTGACTGAAGTTCAAACTACACGGGGTCTCTACTGTTTTGTTTGAATTACATCAGGTAACCCTCAGCCCAGAGCCTCCTCCCTCATTCCTCATCTGCCTGCCTTTGCCACAGCCTTTAGGGCATAGGCACAATGGTTGGGTCACTGGACACCTCAACCTTGGATGACTCCTTCTGGATTGGTGGACACCCTCATGTTCCCTGTAATCTTGAGGGGTCTATCAGCAATGGGACCCCTCCCCTCACCTAGGAGACCCCAGACCATTAGCCATGCAGGTAAGAGGTCCTCCAGTAGCGGAGAGAACACTTACGTGTGTGTATGACTACAGATCTGAGAGCTTATAAAACTATATAACTTATTGTTGTTAGGTGCTGTCGAGTCGGTTCCAACCATAGCAACCCTGTATAGGGTTTCTGAGGAGCAGCTGGTGAGTTTGAACCACCGACCTTGCACTTCAAACCGACTTTGTAGTGCAGCACTTTAACCCACAGTGCCACCCCAGGATGTCATATAACTAACTGCCATCAAGTCAATTCTGACTCAGGGCGCATGTGGGTCAGAGCTGAACTGTGCTCCGTATGGTTTTCAGTGGCCGAGGTTTCAGAAGCAGATCACCAGGCCTTTCTTCTGAGGTACCGGTGTGTGGACTTTGCAGCTGGCAGCTGGGAGTGTTAACAGTTTATACCACCGGGAACTGCACATAGTTGTGAAACCCTAACCAATTGCTGTCCTTGAGTAGTTTCCAGCTCCTAGTGACCCTGTGGATTAGAATGGGGCCGCTCCACCTGCTTTCTGAGACTCTAAATCTCTACAGGAGCAAACTGCCTCACTTTTCTCTGGAGGAGCAGCTGGTGGGTTTGAACCTCTGACCTTCTACTTAGCAACCGAATGCTTAACCCCCTGCATTATCAGGGTTCCATTATTGTGTAAGGAACTCCAAAACAAGCTAAAAGACTCCTAGCCTGTCAGACCGCCTCTGAACTCAAAACAGAAACTCGGCTCAGGCCCCCACTATCCCCAACTAATTGAAGGTCCACAACTCCAGGAGGGGTCCCAGCACCAGAGCACATGCTGCAACTGAGCTTTTCTGTTAGTAGGATTTCCAAAATGCAACTAGGTCAAAATAAACAAAGGGTCAAATGACATTAACCACGGATAAACAACATTCACAACAAAAAAGTCTCAAGAGCTCACAGCAAATTATGAAAATATAGTCACACATGTTCAGACATGTTGCTTGCTACTTTATTCCCCATTACAGAGGGAAGTTCCCCACCTGCAGACCACGTGGAGCCCTTGGGAAGGATCAAAACATCATGTAATTTCAACTCCATAGTTACAAAAGAGTCCCGGTGTGGCACTGGAGGATAAGCAACGGACCGCAAGGTCGGTTTGAACCACAAGGTCGGCGGCTCAAACCCAGCAGACGCTCCTCAGAAACCCTATACAGGGTCACTATGAGTCAGAACATGGTACTTAACAACATAAACACAAAAATCCCCAAGTAAATTCTTATCATCAATATTCCAGAAGACCACACGATGGCGATGTTGTTCCTTTAACATTAAATTCATGATACACCATTTCCAAAACAAAAATTTGCGTTTTTCCCCTTTAGGGAAAAAATGATTCAAGAGGGCTTCCAAATAAATAAATAAATAATGTTTGTGCTTTGTTTATGTCAATTACTAGTTACAAAGTCCAATCCATCTTTTAGCTCTCTTTCCTATGCTAAACTAGGCTATCCCCCCGGCCCCCAAAACACCAGCTCTCAACCCACTTGTCTGCAATTTCCTCTACTCAGGTCATACCTGTTATTGACTAGTTTTATTTTACTGACTTCTAACTTTAAATTTTTT